TTAACCCTATAACGCCAAACGTATCATATATGATACATGAGTTTTTGAGACCTCCAAATGAGCAGTGTGACATTTATTTCCCTAAAAAACCCGATGTATACAATTAGACACATGTAGTGCACTGATAATCCAACAGGGGGCAGTAACTTTCTCACCAGAGGCCTTTCCACTGATACTACAAGACTGCCATGGCAAAGGACTGGGACACATGCGTTTTCAGCAGGAAAACTTTGCCAATTTTAGAAGGCTAAGGTAAGAAAAAAAAATTGTTTTGGGGTGAACTATCAATAGGAACACTTACTGAGTTGATGCAATGTAAAATTACTTAGTATTTTATCATAATCGTTTTGTAAAACCGTGTTGAAAAGTGATGTATCAAATTTGATACAGTGGGTCAGTTAACTCGAAAACTCAGTCAATTGTCTTTTTTATTGTACTTCATGTATTTTACATCACATCAAGCAATGTACAGTCTTTTTTTCATATAAACTAATGAGATGTTTGCATGTTCATAATTTGGTACATTTATAGCTTAAAAATAGATATGCAACTTGCACCTTTTGCTTATTTTCATTGAAAACTGACCAATTCAAAGATAAAATAAACACTGTTTTTTGTGCCTGTGTGTTTTTTTTAGATGGCAAAGACATACACTGTTGAAGATATTCTGAATATGATTATGGATGGGAATTCAAGTGACATCGAGCAGCTAGGGGAGGATGAGGATAAGGAATGGACTCCTGCAAGGATTGAGGAACACCCAGATAGCGGAGATGATGAAGAAGAGGAAAACCCAGATAAGGATGATGATGATGAAGCACCAGAAATCCCAAAGGACAAAACACCAAAGCAGTCGGGAAAGAGCAAAGTGAAAAGGAAGGAGTATCGCTGGGGAAAAAAACAGTTTGAAGCCCCGTCTCCTGAGTTTGTGGAACCTGTTGAGGAAGACTCTGAAGAGAGGCTTGACTGGACACCATGTCAGTACTTCAAATATTTTGTGACTGAGGACATGCTACAAGAAATTGCAGAAGAAACAAACTTGTACAGTGTGCAGAAAAATGGAATGTCAGTTAACACAAATGCCCAAGAAATTGAGCAACTTCTGGGTATGTATATGCACATGGGGTTAGTACAGATGCCCAACGTACGAGCTTACTGGGAGATGGAGACAAGGTACCCCCCAGTTTGTGATGTGATGTCAAGGGGTTGATTCCTGGATTTGCTGACAGTGATTCACTTTCAGAATAACCTCAATGTGTCTGAGGATGCAAAACAAGATAAAGTGTGGAAACTCAGGCCATGGTTGGAGAAACTACGCTAACGCTTTCTTTCCATACCACCTGAAGAATGTCACGCTGTTGACTAAATCATGGTGCCTTTCAAAGGAAAATCACATCTACGGTGCTACATGCCAGGAAAACCTCACAAGTGGGGGTTCAAGATGTGGGGACGTGGTGGGCAAAGTGGCTATCTATATGACTTTGATGTGTGCCAAAGGGGAGGAAATCTTGACCAAGAGAAATCTGATGTTGGTGCTACAGGAGATGTTGTCCTGAAAATGACCTCAACCCTGCCAGCAGGAAAGAATCACAAAGTTTTTGCTGACAATTTCTTTACGTCAGTTCCATTGGCACTTGAAACAAAGAGGANTCTANTACATAGGCACAGTCCGAATGAACAGGGTGAAGAATTGCCAACTGATGGATGAGAAAGAACTGAAGAAAAAGGGAAGAGGGTCACTGCATTTCAGAGTAAACCAGGAAAACGACATCATTGTGAGACGGTATGACAACAAAGCTGTGAACCTGCTCTCTTCTTTTGTTGGTGTTGAACCACTGGGCAGTGTGAACCTTTGGGATCGAAAAGCCAAAACCCACATAATGGTTCCCAGACCGGCCATTGTTGACACTTACAACAGGTTTATGGGAGGCATTGACCTTCTTGATATGCTTTCTGCACTGTACAAGTTCAGCTTCAGATCCCAAAGATGGTACATCTATATTTGGTGGCACACCATCACAGTGGCAGTAATCAATGCATGGATCTGCTACAGAAGAGACCTGGAGAAACTGCAGCCCAGACAGAAACACCTGCCCCTGCGAAGGTTTCAGGCCTCTGTTGCCACTGCCCTCACAAGTGCACGAAAGGTCAAAAAGTGTGGCAGACCTTTGTCCTCTCCGGAAGCAACGCCATCCCCTCCTAGGAGGATTAAAACCTCTGAGTTGCCCCCTGATGTGAGAAAGGATGGCCTCAATCATTTCCCAACATGGGAAACCCGACAGAGATGCAAGCACTGTGTGGGCCACTTTGCCCATGTGTTCTGTGAGAAATGCAGAGTGCATCTTTGTCTGAACAAGGACAGAAACTGTTTCCAAGCCTATCATAATGCAAAATAAAAAGGTTGTGAGCCACAATATGTGTAGAAAATGACTGAAATGTTATGTTCTCGAGACTGCCACCCTGCCAGTTCCATTGGTGGATTTGTTATTGCTGCATTGTTGTAGCACTTTTTATGTTTGGAATTAACAATTATTTATGTTTTATTATGTTTTTGTTTGTTCAAGAAAAAATTATCTTTGAGCATTGTGACCCGATGTATCAAATATGATACAAAATGAAACTCGTATATGGAAAATGATATTTGAAAAAAAAAAAGTTTTTGTTTGTTCAGAGGGACCAATAAAGGCTCCAGTTTCAAAGAATTGGAATGTTCTGTCAGTTATTTCATGGTGTGGGCTTTACAGGGTTTAATAAATTAAAATAAAAGTTGTTCATTTACATTGTATTCATTTAGCCACAAAAGGAAAGTT